ATATATAGAATATTTATAACATTATTATTATTATTATTATTATTATTATTATTATAACACTGTATTCAAATATTTGAATAATTATAACATTATTATAATAATACTGTATTCAAACATTTGATTACATATATAAGTTAATTCATTTTTAAGTTGTCATTTAAAAATATGAAATATATAGTTTATAAGAAAATATTTAATAAGTTAATTCTTATTTAATTAGTTCAAAGTAATAAAAGTTTAAATTATCAATTCCTTTTAATATTTTAAAATATAATTATTTTATTAAGACAAAATTTGATATATGATAAATAAAAATAATAAGATAAAAAATTATGATATAATAAAACCTAATAAATATAAATTATAAATAGAATAATATTAGTTATTACTAAGATTTATGTAAAATATTTAGAAAAAGATAAAGAAAAAAATTAACTTTGTGTTCATCAAATTGGTTGAAAAGATTGAAAAAAATTGATGGGAGAGATTAAGAAAATGTGAAAAAACAGAAAGGTAAGAGAGAATAATATAATAAATTAATTGATATAAAAGATTAAAAAAGATAAAAATTAAAAAGTGGGTAGAAGAAAAATAAAAATGGTGAAATATAAAAAATGACCTTATATGTAATAGAAACAGAAAAGAAAATAATTTTAAAATATTAATATTTTAAAATTTAAATTTAAATATAAAGTCGGGACGGGGACAGGGACATGGTCGAGGTGGGGATTGCATTATCCATCCCGCCCGCCCCGCCCCGCCCCCAACTTTTTAAAGTGGGAAAAACCCAAACCCGCCACCACCCCGGTTAACTTGGGTTTTCCCCGTCAAACTCGGGCGGGGATGGGTCGGTCCCAGGGGTACGAGTTTAATTGTCATCCCTATTATTAATTGAATTTGTTATTGTTTCTATAAATCTCAATCATGATATTGCACTACATTGTTGTTAAAATTGAACTATTATTGTTTGTAATTATTCGTTTATTTGTTTGAGTGCACTTATGATTTATACACTGCATTGTTATGTTTCTACGATTTATTTGTTTAAATCCTAATTTTTTTTGTATATTATTTTTTTAAAATATGATGTTTGAGTCTCCAAGAGTGACTAAATTTATAATATAGGTAGTTATGAACCGGAATTGAATAAATACACATTGTATTAGTGAAGAGAACAAAAAATGAGTTGAGGAATTTTTAAAATTTGTTTGTCAAAATGAAAAACCTATCAAATGGACATATTAATGTTTTGTTTCTCATTGTATATAAACATTTAAAATAACATTGTGTTTTTGTTTTTCATTTAAGTGTGATAAGTAAACAAACTATTATGAATGAAATGTATAGTTTGTGGGGATATTATTGATTCTTGGATGAGAGTAATTTCTCTCAACATTTGTTAAGTTGATTTACCTTTATGTATATTGCATGTTAATGGAAGTCAAATTAATGTTTCAAATCTTTCAATATCTATTTATATTATTAGAATATGATATAACACAAATTAGAGAGTAATGAACAGGTATTTTGTTCCAAATTTGTAGTATTTAGTTTGTAGTTTATTTTTTGTATTATATTGTATATATAATTTGGGATTTAAGTACTAGTTTAATTTTTAAGTAGTTTAGTTTTTGTACTATTTTATCTTTTAAGTAGCTTAGTTTTTAAATGTTTAGTTTTAAGTAGTATTTTCGAGTGTTATATATTATATTTTGGAGTGTTGTATATTGTATTATAAATTGTTGTTTATATGAAATCTAGACTATTTGTATAAAAATATTTATATAGGTTTCGTTTGTAAGACAAAATAAAACAAAAATAAAAATGGCGAAACTTATGTTTGATATGTTAATATCCGACATAAATTTATATTGGGTATTGATACACTCGACGTATTTCTTTTTAATTTCTTTATGTCAATTTTTTTTCAACATAAGTTACGTCAATTGTTTATATGACTAAGGTAAATTGATATTTATGTCTAATATACATTTACGTTTCCTACCTTAATATCAAACGTAGGTATGATATAAAAAATTTAAAATAATAAACATAAAAATTTCTATCTACACTACACTACTATGAAAATAAGGAAACTAAAATATGCATTCAATATATATAGGTCCAAATATTTGTGCTACGATTGTTATTATTATAAGTTTAAACTTTAGTGCATGCTTGAGGACTGAAACGTGTATATGAAAATAGTTTAGAACGTATTCCAACGTGAAAAAGACTATGATGTTGGCCGAGACCATGTTGTCGACAACAAAAAATTGAAGAGCAAACCTTGCATGTCCTCACTCTTATAGCACCCAACTTTGGCAACTAATCTGCATATCTTTTAACCTCCCCGTGATAGGTTTAAGATATCATGAATTCTCCAACATTAGGAATTTAGTTTATTAAGAAGAATGAGATGAGGTCAACCAACAACATTGTTGCATATTGTTATCAATAAAATGTGAAAAAAAATTATAAGAAAAGAAAATAGAAGAAGTTGATTATTTTTGTAAACTCTTTAAAAATAGGTAGTCCAATATGTTACATTTGAAAGTGTTTAAATGTAAATGTTTCACATTTTAAAATTTCGATAAATTGATAGTTGATAAAACATGTTATTGCACGGATCAAATTTCACAATAAAATATGTTATAAGTTGTCCAATACTCAATGTAATATAAAAAAGGGTAATAATTTTATAAATATTAGGGATACACATGAGTTATTGTAATAATTAATCACTACTAGAAAACTAGTTTTTTTTTGCCAATTTTCTTACAAAAAATTGTTTAAATTTATAGAAAACTTATTTCTTGCAATTTTTACCAAAATTTTGCAAAAATATTCCCATGAAAAATGAAAATTTTTAGTAGTGAATGTAGTATAGGATGTATTATATTGGTTATAATATCCTCTTTATTGGTTAAGGTCATAATTGATTTATATCTTCACGTACTATTGGTTTTATGTATCCTCTTATAACTATTTTGGTTAAACAAAATATATTTTATATTAATTCTTTTATAAAATCGACTTGTAATAATTTCAAAATATCCAATAATAAATATAAATACGTTGATTTCACTAATCATATTTATCTTGATTATTCTTTATATAATTTTTCATTATGATTAGAATAGTAGAAATACTATGTCTGTTTTGAATTGACATATCTTATTCTAGTCTAGATGTAGTATGTTTATCAATATTTGTAATCTTGAAGCATGTTGGTAGGTTTTTTCTTGGATTGGGCAGGGTAGCTGACCCAAAAGTTTTCTTGTGTTATTTTGTCCAATAAGGACAATGTGTAGAGTCTATTTCTGAAGTAGACTTTTTATATCCTATAGGAGGAGATTTTTTTATTTGTTCGATAACTGTAATAGTTGTTTTGTAGTCTTTGTCTAAAAAAGGCTACAGATTTTGTTTACCTTCCATTAAAATTTTTAAAATAAAACAAAAATTTCTAAAAAAAAGGCAAGAAATCAGAGAGTGATCAAGCAAATAAAGCAGTAGATAAGTGGAGGAGAATAAGGGGATCCACGAAATATACTATAAAACAATATTTATAAAAGAATATAGATAATTATAAGGCTTAAAAAAATCTTTTTGTTTTTTATTTTTTATTTTTTATATATAAGTGATATACAAGAACATGAATAAACAGATATACAAAAGAAAATAAAAAGATGTATAAGAAAATATATTTGCAAAGACTACCACAATATACTAAGTCAAATGATGATCAAATAAATACATTTGAAAATTCATTATCACCTCTTCTTAATTAATGAAGAATTTTTCACTTTATAACATCATTAAAGTTTATGTAATAATCACTAAACATTCTATTAAAAATTTATATAATATCATGTTCTTTGTTTATCAAATAAAACTGCATTTTTTATGAATGCTCTACGACAAAATGTATGGAAAATTGATCAATTTAAGATATTTGATATTTGAAAAAATAGTATTTTTTTTTCGTAATTGTTCAAATAAGACATTAAAATTAAATGAATTTTTAGAGATGAAATTAGATAATTGTAATAAATAAGATTGGATTGACAACTAAGATATGTAAAAAAAAGAAAGGATTGAAACATATGTCTCATTAGAAGTTACTTGCATTTGCTAGCTTAATAATTTTAGAGTGTTTCAAATGGATATTAAAAGTATTTTATATGAATTTTAAAGTGTCTGAAATAAATGTTAAAGGGATTGAGTATGTTTGAAAGGGAGAATAAAAATTTATTAATGTAAATTAATATTAAAATGGATAGAAAGTGGAATACAATAGCAATTAGGGGAAGTTTAAATAGCATTAGGCTTGTTCCAGGCCTTATTTTTCACAGCCTTGTTGTTGACATAATTTGTAGCGTAGTCAACAGATGAGTGAAGGAAGTGTTGGGTTCTTGTGTTCTTTTTCAACATCGTACAGATTGGTTCCCTCAAGCAATTCCAATGGCAGAATTAAGGTGGATTATAGAGCAAAATGAGCCAAATGGAAAATAAAAATCTACAGTTGGGAGATGAAGTAAAATAAAAGTTAAATTTTTTAGAGTTTTGATAAGATTCATATTTAATTTCAGATTAAAAATTTTAAACTCAAACTATATATTCTACTGACCCCACTCATTTTGTTTCCTTTAAATATAATGTAAAATTATTTTTGATAAATTCATCATAAATCCATACATGCACATTTCTCCCACAGAAATCAATATTATAAATATTACAAAAAATAATATATATTTTCAATCAAATATGAAATACCAATAATAATAAGGAGAATATGATATAACTCCCTTGAGAAGACCATATTCAGGGAGGGAAATTGCAGATTGAAGAGCAGTAGCAGTGACACAAAAGTTGCACAGAACAAATTCTGAATCTGAATATTGTGATTCTGAACAATGTATTCGCACTCTTCTCAAACTGAATCATTACAATTGAATTGAAATGTTGAAGCCAATTTTTACGATGTGACATAACAACTATTATCTGAATCCCATCCTTAATGTGTTGGAGCAACCATGTGTTCTCCTAAGAATAGCAGAAGCCCCAATGTGTTGGTGGTGGCTGAGATTGAAGACATCTGTGGCATTACTGTTAAAGAGATTGGTGACATCAGCAAGAGGCAACCTCTTAAGCTTTCGTGTACTGCGCTTCTTGTTCTTGAAAGATATGGACATTATGTGAGGAATTGGGGTCTTACTCTTATCCTTGTTGACATAACTGCTACCAATTGGAGGAACATTTTCCTTGTTGCCATGGTTGGAAATGGTAGTTGCAGTGTAACAAAACTCCATTTGTAAGAAATTAGAATGTGGGAAAAAGGTTGTTGTGTTAGGAACAGTGATAGAGAAGAGTTGGGGTGGTTGATTGTGGGATGTGGGGTGGTGGTATATATTCATTGTTGAATGAAACAAGAAAGGGGGAGAAAATGAAAATTTTGAGAATTTGGATTTTGGGGTATGAAAGCTGAGAAATTTGTCGATGGCGCTTTTTGTTATTTTGTGAATTCATGGTAGAGGGAAAAAGTGAAACTTTAGGGCGCGTAGGGTGATCAATTCTAAATTCAGAGTGAGGTGATCATGGCCCACTAGGCCCAAAAGCCCAAATACGCAAGTGACAACTTGCCTTAAATAATGATCTTCTTCAATTTATTTAACGTATTATTTATTATTTTTTAATTTTTTAATTTTAAGTCTATCAAAATTTATTCAGCATATTTAAATTTAAAAAAATATTTACATTTAAAAAAAAAAATACTAGTAACAATATAATAATTAAAAAAATATTTTCAAAAATATAATCTTAAAAATACACATATTTTTTTATATTTTTTTACATTTTTAGATATAATTAGAAAAAAAATCATATTTGAAAGTAATAATTTTATAATAAAATTTTATTTTTAAATATGATTTATGTATTTACATAATATTTTTTTAAAATATCAAATTTTGTAAATAAATAATAATAATAATAATAATAAATTTCGTACAGAAAAAGTGCAGTTATTTGCAGCCTTAGAAGGTTTCTTATAAATTGGTTTTGCAATTTTAATGACATTGTGTTTGATATATATGATGTATGAGTATCTCCCCTTGAAATTCATGACCCCTTTATGCTCAGCAAGTCAACATTTTGACATCATTTATTTGATTGTTAAGGAAATAATTCATAATATGCATACAACGATTGATTCCATGCTAATTAACTAATTTACTAAATATTTTTTATCTAAGATTTTTATATGGATGTAATTTCTTACAGTACTTTAATTTAGTTATGCTATATATATTCAAATATTTATATCATTTGGATTTTGTTTTTCAAAAATAAATTGATATTTATATAAGTTTTTTTAATATTTATACTATATTTGGATTGATCTTTATAAAAAAAGAAAAAATAAAGTGCAAAGCAGTTAAAGATTGATATGATTGAAATAACGATATATGTAATTTTCAGCACGTTTATCCATATTTGATGTTTGTTTGTTATAAGCATGAGTGACAAGGGTGATCATTGTGGCTTATTTATGATAAGTTGTGATGAAACCTGCACTAGTTATGAGATGGAGAATATTGATTAAAGGGAGTATAACACATAAATGTCTAATATTAATATGAAATCCAAGTGAATATCTATATTAAACTTTTAAGAGAAAGGAGCTTAATTAGCATATATGGGTATAATTGAAATAGTAATTGAGTTATTTTTTATCATTTAAAAATTGATATGGTGCATATATATTTATTATTTATTAATTTGTTGAGGGAGTGAGGACTAATGAGTAAGAAGGCCAAGTCAGGTCGGTGGCTTGCACTTTCACGTGAATCCAATATACCAACCCATCACTCACTTCTCACTTCTCACTCTCTCCTGTCAAATATCTTCCTACGTAACAAACCATCCGCCACTCATCTATCACCTTCCTTTTATAAATATACCCTCATTCTTATTTTATTTAGATTTCATTTCTTCTTTAATCTTAAGACAAATTTTATCTTCACAATTTTATATTATAAATTATTTATTTTAAGGTTTATGCATCATTGTTTTTTTACTTTTATTTTATTTAATTTTGTAAGAAACTAAAAAAATAGCTAGTATAAAAAATTAAATAAAAAACTTTTATGTATACAGATTACAAAAGATAAAATTTATTTATTTACATAAATCAAATAAATTATTTAACTCTAAATTTTAATATGTAATAAACTATTATGTATCTATAAAAAATAGATTGTACAGGTTACACGTGATCACGGTTGAATTAGTTTTATTACGTTTTTACTGAGTTTTGGGATACAAAAATATGTTAGGACTAAAGACTTCAAATTAAATCAGACCCGAGTTTAAAGTTGGGTTTCATTCTGTCCGGCACGAGTTTAAAATTAGGTTTAAATTACTTTAATTAAATTTAATAAAACAATATTGTATCACATTTTTAATAACATAAAACAAGTTTTTTAATAATTATAAGTCTAAAAAAAAACTACAATTGTAACGAAAAATTATTCATTAGTATTGTCAGAAATCATGATCATAATCATATACGTTAAATTAAACGTAATGAAGAATGAAGTACCAAAAATCTTAAAAGTGAAATCAAAACATAAAAAAAATTATAAATTTTTTTATATAACTTTGATTTGATTACTTTAAAAGAAAAATATTTAATTTACTTTTGTCCAAACAAGAGTGCCTAATTTTCGTTTTTGAAATATTATTTTATTGTTAATTTGTACAATACTTATCCATTAAAATGTATGAAAAGACCAACAATAAAGGCAGGGGGAGTTGAATCCCATATGAGTTTAATTAAAAATTGAATTAAAGAGTTGATGGTTAAAATGTGTAAGAAAAATGCGTTGGGAAAGAGGAGATATAAAAGAAAAGGTGGCAAAGATTCTAAAGAAGAAAAGGAAAGGAAAATAAAGAAAAGTCAAGAAAAATTGAAGTGTAAGAAGGTAGGAGAAGGGTGTTAAAAAAATGTGGTGGTGGGGGATAAAAAGGTAGGTGTGTGGTTTGTCTGTACTCCTTTTTCTTTTTATTGGATAACGTGCAGACAGATTTCGTATGCCGCATTACACCTATGCCCTCGGCTGGCTTTCACTACAAACCAAACCCTTCTACTTTTTTATTCTCTCTACAAACAGATTTAGTTTCACTGTATGCACATACATCCTATTCACCTGGGTCTCCATGCCTCAAACAAGATCCATCCATCCATCCATTAATACCATTTCCCTCCCTGTCTTCATTTAACATCCATCCCAACCTAATCCATTTTTCATTTTTCACGCACCCTCTCTCTCTCTCTCTTGCAAGAACTCTTCCTACACTCCACTATCAGATAGTAAAATAAAAAAAATTAAAAAACAAAGTATTAAAAATAGAAAGAGAGACTTCGAATTGGAGTCGGAATTATCGTACCGGAGATGGGTGACGGAACAACCGTTAGCAACCTACCGGAGGAGATCCTGTTGAACGTTTTTTCCGCCGTCACCGACACGCGCACGCGAAACTCGCTGTCCCTCGTGTGTCGAAGCTTCTTCCGCTTGGAACGCAAGACGCGCACCTCGCTAACGCTCCGCGGCAACGCGCGTGACTTGCACCTCATCCCGACCTCCTTCACGCACGTCACGCACCTCGACCTCTCCTTCCTCTCGCCGTGGGGCCACGCGCTCTTCTGCTCCCCCGCCACCACCACCTTCGACCCGCGCCTCCTCGCGCTTCGCCTCCGTGATGCCTTTCCGCGCGTCACCTCGCTTGCCGTATATGCGCGCGACCCCGTCACGCTCCACCTCCTCCTCCTGTCCCCCTGGCCTGAGCTCTCCGGCGTAAAGCTCGTGCGCTGGCACCAGCGCCCGCCGACTTCGCTCGCGGGATCCGACTTCGCCTCGCTGTTCTCGCAGTGCCGATCGCTCTCCTCACTCGACCTCTCCTCGTTCTACCACTGGCCGGAAGACCTCCCGCCGGTGCTGACGGACAACCCTGTAACCGCCGCCTGTCTCCGACGCCTCAACCTCTTGACAACTTCCCTCACCGAGGGTTTCAAATCTCACGAAATCGAATCCATCACTGCATCGTGCCCTAACCTGGAGCAGTTTCTTGTGGCTTGCACCTTCGATCCGAGATATATAGGTTTCGTTGGGGACGACACGCTGGTTGCTGTTCCCTCCAATTGCCCCAAGCTCTCGCTGCTTCACTTGGCCGATACGTCGTCGTTTTCGAATCGCAGAGAGGATGAGGGTTTCGGGGGAGAAGACGCTAGGGTTAGCGGTGCTACTCTTGCGACTTTGTTCTCTGGACTTCCTCTTTTGGAAGAGTTAGTGTTAGATGTTTGTAAAAATATCAGAGGTAGTAGTTTGGCGTTGGAAGTGTTGAGTTCGAAGTGCCCTAATTTGAGGGTTCTGAAATTAGGTCAGTTTCAAGGGATTTGCTTGGCCCTTGGGTCTAAGCTTGACGGAGTTGCACTCTGCCATGGGCTTGAATCATTGTCTGTTGGTAACTGCGCGGACCTCGATGACATGGGTTTGATTGAGATTGCCAGAGGTTGTTCCAGGCTGGTTAGGTTCGAGCTTCAGGGTTGCAAGCTTGTGACTGAGCAGGGGCTGAGGACCATGATTTCTTTGCTTAGCAGGACTATGATTGATGTCAAGGTTTCTGGCTGTGGCAACCTCGACACCGCGGCGACTCTTAGAGCTTTGGAGCCTATTCGCAAACGGATTGAGCGGCTCCACGTTGATTGTGTGTGGAATGGGTTGAAGGAAAGCGATGGCCTGGGACATGGATTTCTTAATTTTGATCTGAATTGTTTGGATGAGCTGGGTGATGGTGGTGAGCTCATGGACTACTTTAGGGGTGGAGAATGTGAGAACACGAGCAAAAGGAAGAGGCAGAGATGCAAATATGAAATGGGGGTTCGTGATTCCTTTTTCGAAAGCAATGGCAATGGTTTTTATGGCAAGTGCTGGGACAAGCTACAGTATCTTTCTCTGTGGATAAAGGTCGGTGATCTTTTGACTCCATTGCCAGTGGCAGGGTTGGAGGATTGTCCGAGTTTGGAAGAGATTGTTATAAAGGTTGAAGGAGATAGCAGGGGCCAACCGAAGCCAGCAGAGCGGGAGTTTGGTCTGAGCATTCTGGCTTGTTATCCTCAGCTATTGAAGATGCAGCTGGATTGTGGTGATACCAAAGGTTATGCCCTCACAGCACCATCAGGGCAAATGGATTTGAGCCTGTGGGAGAGGTTTTTTCTGAATGGGATTGGCAGTCTGAGTCTGAATGAGCTTCATTACTGGCCACCACAAGATGAGGATGTGAACCAGAGAAGTGTGTCACTTCCAGCTGCTGGTTTGTTACAAGAATGCTACACTTTGAGGAAGCTCTTCATTCACGGGACAGCTCATGAGCATTTCATGAATTTTTTCCTCAAGATGCCAAACCTGAGGGATGTACAACTGAGGGAGGATTATTACCCAGCGCCTGAGAATGACATGAGCACAGAGATGAGAGTGGCTTCGTGCAGCCGCTTTGAAGATGCACTAAATAGGCGTCGTATCGGTGATTGACTTGTAATGTTACATGCCCTGACATTGGAACTTGCTTGCATGTTGTTTCTGTGGATTATTTACACCTTGCTCATCTTTTAGTTTAGTTACTACTTTTCTATTTCCTTCCGCTTTTTTATACTGTAACAACCAGACTCGTGTCCAATGGTTTAGTCAAAGAATAAATTATTCAGCAACAGATTTTAAATATATATGTCCCCACACGATACTTTAGTTAGGAACGCACGTGTTTCATTATGTTTTAGATAAAGAACAAAAATTCATAGACGTTTACATCAGCCGAAAACACAAAAGTGACAACTCTACCCGAAGTTCACTATGTACAAAAGATAAACACGGGATTAACACATGGAGTACTCGATGTCCACCAAGCGAGAGAGGATCTCCTCACAACTTGGCCGTTCATGGGGTTCCGCCCAACACTCTGCATACAAAAAAATCAAGTAACCAGTTAAACTATACGGAATCTGAATAAAATAATAGTGTTGACGTCAAAAAGGCCTCGAATCATGACATGAATATATCCTTGGTTGCAGACCTGATATCAGCCTGCCTAGCGGGCCTTCAGGAATATCCAATCGAGAACCCTCGTGGGCAACGGTATAAACCACCTAATCAGCAGATCAAAAAGTGTTAACATAAATAATAAATAAAACATTACAATCTGAAGATCCAAATAAAGGAAATACAAAATCTTTATCGAAGATTAACAAATCGTCTATCAATCATACCCTCTCCGGAGGCACGCCCTCCCATGGCCTATTCAAGGTGCAGAGCTCCCACATTATCACCCCCAGGCTAAAGATATCACATTTTTCAGTGAATGGTTCATTTCGAACTAGTTCAGGAGCCATCCATTCTGGAGTTCCTGCTGACGAGGAATCTCTCATGGGAGAATCTGTTATTATTCTTGACAGTCCAAAATCACATATTTTCACAGTCCAATGCTTGTCCACAAGACAATTTGCACTTTTCACATCACGGTGAATAATCTTCATACGGTGTATATGCATTAGGCCCCTAGTCAACACCAAGATATTCTTGTCAATGTTAAACAAAGAAAATGCCACTTTAAAAGCGAATTCGTTTTTTCACTGAAATGCAAATGCCGTAAAGTGTTCAACGAAGAAAAGATTCTGAAAGTTGGGCATAACCAGGATGTTTAACCAAACATGCACCACATAACTTACCGGCATATGTCCCGCAACATCTTTAGTCTTCTCCGCCAGCTAAGCTTCTTCTTTTGACCACTCACATGAATCAAGTAAAACAAAGACCCCATCTCCATGTATTCAGTCACCATTGACAAGCGTGGGGGCTTTGTGCATGCACCAAGAAATAAGATAACTGCATAAAAATCAATCGCTTAAAAAATAACAGATGCTGTCAAAGAAATCATGCTACAAGAGGTTTTCTTATTTACAACAGGGCAAGGAGGAATTTGATAATAAATTCCAGACTTTCGGTTGTCAAAAATATCCAGAAAACAAAATGTCCAAGATCAATTACAGAAAAGACCCATAAAAAAAGAACTAGTTAGGATGTTCGGGAGTACCATTAGGATGTCGGAGCCGGCTGGAGGAAGAAAAAAACACAGGAAAAACAGACTAGGAGTCAGCAAAGGTTGGATGAAACAAAATTGCTGACAAATAGCAAATCAACGTATGATACCTGAGAATGGATATCTCATTGCAGAAATCTTCCATGTTTTCAGCAGTTAAATCTTGCTCTAGAAAAACCTTGATTGCGACATCTGTGCCATTCCAAATACCACGGAAAACTTCTCCGAAGAACCCTGGAAAAGAGAAGGACAATCGAATTACAAAAATTGATATGAACTCCAGGCAGTTGAAATCATGAATTCAAATGGATAGATTTTGAATCATCCATCAATGGTATCATATTTCTTGTAACAAATTAAACAAAAATTAACTAATAAACTGAGCAAACACAATTTCAATAATTTTTTCCCCAAATACTGAGACTCACATTCTGATTTCTTCATAAATTCCAAAAGTTAGTTTCTTTCTTATCATGATTTATTGATTTTGGGTTCCTCAATTACTAATTCTCGGCTCGATCTCTCTACTAATCTATCATTCATTATTCAATTTCTCTCCACCTTCATCTAAACTCACCAACCCAAAACCTTGAAACTGTTGAAACCCGAATAGAGGGTATAAAAGGAATCATCCATTATTATTATAAGTGGGAAAAGCAAAAAAATTAAGATTTTTAAGGCATCATGTTAATTAAAAATCAGAAAATGAAAAAACTAGGAAAATTCTGGTTGGTTGTAACAGATCTCGCCAGATCTGTCTTTGTATGTCGTAATCAAGAAACAAATATGTAGAAATCCAACCTCAAGAAACATTTGGAGTCGGGTGATTCATCCAGAAACTAATTAGTCACCCATGCTTAAATCACAAGTGATACTAATTGCACACCAAAAATCCTAACTTGTGATTTTATTAACTACAAGGACAAAGCTGACATACCAATCCCAACACGAGTTCCAACAGCCAATTCTGTGAAAACGATACTAAATCACACAGCAAAAATCATAACTCATGATTTTAATAACTACAAGGGGAAAGCTGAAACATACCAATCCCAACACGGGTTCCAACAGTCAATTCATTGAAATCGATATTCCATTCTTCATATGGCAACAGAGGTCTATCGTTAAACATTGGTGATTGAAGGACTTTATTCCAGGTAGATTCCATTTCATCATTCATTGTATATTCTGATGCTCCGCTTCTCTCAGAAGGTTGTCCTCTATAATCATGCGGGGAAGAGGGTAATGACATTGCCTTTTGAGAGCTTACAGGTTCACGGTGTAGCAAATATAAGGGTGACCTCTCTTGATGACCATCAAGATGGAAATTTGACACCTGTTATATAGCATAACTGGAATCACATGAGGCAACTTGTCTTTTAACGGAAGCTAATCCAGAAAACATTATAAATCTAATTATAATTTACATTTTACTGTAATCATCAATTATAAAACATTATAGAACCGTTATTCTATTCCAGATTATTACAAATTAAATTATACTACAGCCCATCACCAAATTTAGTAGTTGACATGAAAATATCATACTTATAAACTGAGAGCATATTGATTTCTCCTAGATGGAGTTATGCAATCAAATCATAGAGGTATGATGCATAGGATATACTAAAAGAAGTCTCCGCAAGAAGAGAATCAAGGCTTAAATAATAGCATACTTTGTTGCAAAAAAAATTAAAAATTAAGACATACTTTTTTCTGAAGATCCGCACTGCTGGCTCTATCATTTGGAGAATGGGACAATAAACTATCACCAACCCCTTGCTCTCTTAGAAGACGATTTTGCTTTAGTGTTTCATTCATTGCCCGTACAGCCCTGCAGAGATTAGATCCTAAGTTATTATAACAGCACATACCACATTCATATTTTATTGAAATAGATAATTATGCATTATTAAAATCGTAAGTCAATGATCATTAATTCACTTTATCAGAGTACAAATATGCTCATAAGCATTAGTTATTTATCACAAAGCAGGAACCATTTACAACAGTCAAGCCTCAAGCAATCTACAAATTAATCTATCAAATCATTAAGTTGAATAATTACCAAGAATGCAGTACAGGTAAGGATACATTGTCCCAGGGCAAGTACAGAGTAGCTTATCTTTTCTTTCAGAAAAAAAACTTTAGATCAAGATGTTCGGGATTTTTGGCTTTCATTTGGCGTAATGTAATCAATTCTAAAAAACAGAATAAACAATAACATTTATCTACTACACCAACGACGTCATGTTAAGGATATACAGCACCATAAGCACAATAGATGTTCAACCAACCTTGCAATATCATCACCAATCTCTGGTGTGATGCTGATACTTCTTCTTCGTATTCTGCGAGCTTCTGATGAGGAAGCACCATCTGACTTATAGCTGGATCTGAAAAATAAACAAATTCATCTGGTTAAAATATGTAATGAAGAAAATACTTTCTTAAAGTTACATAATGACATACAATAATAACCATAATGCGAATATGCCCATGCCATCAATGTCCAGATTTGATAAAAAGAAATTTAAATGAGCATGGCTTACATTCAGTCAGTAATGGCCAGGTGTAAAATATGAGTAAAATATAGATAGCCAGCACCCAACCACAGTAACAACATATATTAAGGGACCATAGAGGTATAAACCTTGGTGCAGACTGGTCATCAGCAAAACCTCTACAAGCAGTTCTGTCACCACTAAGCTTGGACCGTCCATGTGCACGCAATGATGGATGTTCTGGACTGCAAACCCAGAAATATTTGAAGCAAAAAATAAACAGCATAATTTTTTTAATATTCAAGGTATTTTAGCATAAAGAATTCGGAGATCATTTAGATACTAATGCTACTAATTGAATTTTTGTCACAAAGCAAAATAGAAAGATAAAAATTGGCACGTCCTATCATAAACAGAGAAGTCATTTTTCACCAACAGAAAGCATGCTGAAAATAGTACAATAGCACAAATAGAAAATAGATGATATACAGTCTCGTCTAATTGGAAGATTTGATATTTTAAAGTGTGAATAATTATGAGTCAAATGTGGTTGTCTCGAATCCAACCATTAGAATATCAGATATTATGTTGAATTTTAGATAAATTCAATATTAGTAATAAATTTAAAGACAATGTGATCTTAAGTTTATGATTAAATTACATTGGCCTCTTCTCTCTTTTTTCAGATTTTGCCCGATATCCCTGTTTTACAAAAACCTACAGAAAACTCCTTTATTGTTTTAACAACATTAGTAAAACCCCTTATAAATTACACTACCCCTTAAAACCTCCTCACGCATCATATTCCCGTGCCTTCCCACTCTCCAGCTCATCAATGACCTTCCCTGCCCTTATTTTTGTTCTATCTCTTGGCTTTCATTTCGTACAGCACACCTTCTCTTTGTTATTTCATACACTAGTAATTGTAGGGTTTCTTATCAGAGATAAATCCCACATTTGAAAAGAGTAATCATCAATGAGTCCAGCTAATCTAACCTATCAGACCAGGTACAGAATAATTTCGTTGTAAATCTCATGCTGCAACAACAGTAAATTTTTTCTTGTCAACAATAGTAATTCTTTCATAAACACTCTAGACTTTCCACCCACTAATCACGGACAGAGACAGTCAATTCAGATTCAAGAAAATATATTTATAGTGCCAGTCATCCTTGTTAAATTAAAGGCTTTATACAAACAGAATGCAAGAGAACTTTGTCTGTAACTAAACCCTAAACTCAAACCAAGATCATAAGAATATCAATAGTTTGTTACCAACACAACATGCAAACTTATCAATCCAAAACCTTGAACTAGCAGTCCTCTGTTCAGCAATGACCTTTCTCCGACTCCGCCGACCAAATGCAGTTGCAATGTTGGGTTCACTGTGTGAAAAACTGGAAGAATTGACAAAAATATCAACAAGAACCAGTGGTATTTTACATCTCAGGTGAGTGGGAAAAGAAGGACCACAACCAAAAGGGCATTTTAAAGTGACATGGGAAAAGATAGAAGAGAAAAGCTTTTCATTGAAAGAAAACAATGTGAGAAACCCATTATATGTCATTTCAGGATAAGCAAAGGAAGTATTACTTCAAATTCCTGTCCAGACTGCTATTTGATCGTAACATCATATTTCGCAGGGGAAGACCTGATACATTTGAAGACACTTCAAATCTTCTATGGAATTGGAGGTTTTCCTCCTTTTCAACACTGTCAGAGGACACCAAGAGAAACAGTGATCAATTGGCAAATCTTATTACTACCAAAACAGATGGCCTAAAGGTAATAGGGCAATGCATAGTCAGAATTATCAATCACAATCGTAAATGCAAATAATGATGCTGGTCCTCCCAGTTCCATTAAAGTCCAATTTCAGTCCAAACCCCCGATGAAGCACCCTATCAGTTTGATGCTGATATGGCACTACTTTTTCTGATGTAGGCAACACCATTTTGCTAACATGGCACAAAATTTGATGATGAGACGCAGTTCTATTGACTTTGCTACCTGGACACACAGTGCTATGCCACATAAGAAACAAAGTGCCATATCAACATCATCAATCTGACAGGGATTGAATTGCATGATTTAGAAACTATGAGGAGATGATAACATATGTTTTAATTAAAATTAGATGAAAATCAAATTAAAAAGAGAAACAATCAGTAGCAAAAATGTAACTAACCTAAAACAATAAAATAACCATTTTCCCAACTGCTTAGGATCTAACCTCTCTGAAACCCCATATAAAGGACTATTTGGTTCTAATGGTGAATCACAGGAATCATTTTCTGCAGAATCACTTTCTCCAGCTGCAGAAATGTGTGTCATAAGAATTGATTTGGTTGATCGTGGTAATAGTTGGCCAGGAAATCGCATAAGATCAACCAGCAGTTCCACAGAATTTAACACAACTATCACTGACACATGCTTGTAAGAGTCTACACAGTCAGCAGCTCCATCATTAGGAAAACCCTGATAAAGAGAATGGCAAAGCAAAACACCCTTCAAAATTAGACATGATAGTAAACAACATTGAATATTTATCATTGATTTTTTGTGCTAAAATAATTCATTAGAATGTTTTTATATTGAAACTAGTAAAATAGTTAAGTGCATGGCAAAGAATAACTGCAATTTGCAACAACCAAAGAAATGAGAACTCACCATCATAAGCCTACTTTCAAGACCTACAGTATCTGCTAATACTTTAAATAAGATAGCTCGAGGACGGCATGAACCATGCCTTATTTGCCCTAGCATCTGGACACCACGATTCTCAAACATGTGCGAGGATTCCTCAAAAGCAGCTTTGGCTGAACTTTCTACATTTGGTCGCTTATAAAAGTCAGAAACCTGTGCAGAATTTGAGGTCAAAATAATGATGAACACCTTTTTATTTAGCTTAAAAAACAAATAGAAGCAATAGATAGAAAGTTGTAATAGATAATTGACACTAATACATTCCAATAAACTTGTAATTGATGATTAAGAATAAATCATTCATTAAAACTAATAGTAGGACTAGTTTGGAAAGCATTTTACCTTGAAAACTACATTTTGTACAAGGAATCAAATCTCCTCATACGAATGGAGAAACAATAATATATTACAAAATCCATGCACAGTAAAAAGCTCCAAAATAAGATGCAAAAATAGTACATACTAATCCAGCTATCTTCTTAATCATTGCTGGTGGATTTGAATTCAATCCTTTAACCAATGCCACAATTAGTTGCTTCAACATAGATAGCCTTCTATCTTTCTCTGCATCTACAACAATGACATCAGCCCTAAAACCCTCTCCACCCAAAGCTTGAAGCTCATCCAAAGTAGGAATACTATCAAAAAGTTTCTTGAGTCTTTTCTCCTGCACGTTGAAGTTACATTTTAGTTACACATGAAGAATAGGGATACTACGTACAAACTGCACAATACAACCATATTTCAATGTGTAAATTGTTAGCACATCTAATCAACCATAAGAATTTAACAAAATAATATAGAAAATATTACACAATGGGCTGAAATGTGATTGTTTTCGATTGGGAAACTTCAATAGAATAATTTCATAGTTGCACATGCTAAAGGCATGGTGTTACTCTAGTCTGCACCAGGCGAAGTATGTGCCATTAAGCTATTCCAGATCCATTAATTACTTTAGCCTTTGCATGCTACTCAACCAAGCAACTGCAAATAATCTTCCAGCAATTTATACAACACTTAAATTCAATGTTGCAGTTCGTATAATACTAATTTTCCCTAAAAGTGCCGCTTCATAGATAGGTCCTCTTCCATTTTTTTATTAAAATATAATTAATGACAGAATGAAGAAGATAGTATGAACTTAAAAGTAAAAATAAATAAATAAAATAGAAACTCACTGGAACAACTGAATAAAAACCATTGGGTATTGGTTCTGAAAGCATTCCAGTGCGCCAGAGAATTTGTGATGCCTTTTGAGGTGACATAACATCTTGGTTAGCAAGTCCTGATGATTCTTTATTATTTAACGTCTGATCTTGAGAGCTCAAAGAAACGGATTCAAAATTTTCAACAAAATCTGAAGGCCACCACGACACGTTGGATGGCATTCGCTCTGCTGGCCCTGCATCTTCACGTGTCTCTTCCATGTTCTCATAAAATTGAAATGTAAAATCATTTCGCCACACTTCTTAACCCATAAGAGACATATCACAGCTGAAGGTAGTTCTAAAATCACAAATCATTGAAACACATACTTTTGCAGCTCCAACAGCTTCAACCTGGAGGCCACATAGCCTGCATAAAAAAACATAACAAGGTATAGGCATATCGCAATGTGAAATTGGTATACCACAATTCCCTAAAGCAAGAAGGAATCAATTTACCATAATATCAAACACTCTAACATAAACATCAAAACTTGGAAAACAATCATAAGTAACCCCTCACTAATTACAAGTATTTGTTTACTTGTTCATTGCACATCCAAAGGCAAATTTTGGCACAAGCCCAACGTCTCCAAAGAGTACATCCATTTATACTAACTCCATTTATTCGAAAAACCAAAGATTCTCTCTTACACTCTTCTCCCAAGCTTCTTCTTTTTTATTTTTACTATTTAATCTCCTTCCATAACTTTCCATCTAAACCAATTATCCCCAATTGGTCTCCAAGTCAACTCTCTTCTTATTTCCCACTCAATTTGACCCAGGTTAGGCGCATACGGAAATACATTTCAAATTTCAATTCAAATCACCGTTTAACAATTCCTTCATTAAAACTAATGCTTTTCAATAATTTAATCAGAATAACAACAAAATTCAAAATACTACTAATGGTAACAACAACAAAACCGCCGCACATCACATTTGCACAATCATAAAAGGATCTAATACAACATTACTCCAATGACAAAGGTGAAATTCAGAATCGACCTACCATTAGCACAGCACAATTTCAAAGTTAATCCATCCAGTAAAACTAATTTCCAATAACAGAAACAATCAAACAAATCTACATTGCACCCAGACTCAGCTCCATTTACTCCAAAATTCAAATCGAGAACAAGCGGAAGGAAAACAATCCATCTCAAAAGAACAAAGATTAAATTGTACCAAGAAAAGCACAAACAGTGAAGAAACACCCAATGCAAAGAGAGCGAAAGAGAGGAATAGTAACAGAATTGAAATTGGCGCGAATGCAAATAGAAGAATACAAACAGTTAGTACCTACCGACGAGAGATCCAAGCATTTGAGAACGGCGTGTAATGGAGTAGCATTTGAATCTCAACGAATCTGCGGAGGTTTTATAACGAGACAAAGAGCCATGAAACGAGGCGCGGACGAAAGAAACGGCGACAATGATGATGGGGAAAAGGACGAAAAGGAAGAGCGATGATGGTGGAAACGAGGAAGTGAAAGGGAGAGGGATTTGATGATTTTGGGTTTAGGATTGAGGGAAGGAGAAAGCGATGGGCTTGGTTGGTTAGTTAGAGGCTTTGGTTTGGGAGAGAGATTTAAGAGAGAGATGAGAGGTCACGTGCAAGGGAGAAGGAGGTTACATATTACAATACAAGGATCTGGGGATCTCACCACCTCACTCTCTCCGCCAGCTAGCTAAGTTTGTAGTAGACTTTCCTCTTTCGTCTTTAACTTTAGTCGTTTAAATCTAAGTTCTTCCCTCTTTCTTCTTCCCTTATTTATTTATTTACTTTCTACACCAATAAATATACTTATAGATCAATTTAATATATAATGTTAACTAATTAGAATTATTATTAATATGAATTAAAAAATTATGAAAATTTTGTGATTAAATGATAATTTGGTTTTAGATTATATTTGAAAATTTTAGTATATATTAGTGCGACAAAGAGTTTTTATTACAAGGACAAAATACAAAATATTTGATTAAGTTGATGATTAATGTTCATAAAAAAATTAAATCTTTTAATTATTTTTTCTTTAAAAAAGTAAAATTGAATATATTTTTTCTTTTATTGCTTCCTTACTTCTTCATTTTTGGGAGAGACCTTTACTCATATAAACTACTTAGCTACTCATTTGTTAAACAATTTGCGTCTTCATCAAACACTTTTCCAAACATTTTCTGAAGACCTTTCGTTGCGCCCCTTTTTTACGACCTTACAATAGACATAAGTTAGATTACAAGTCTCACTTATGTCTCTTGTCTCCTACTGGCAAATGCTATGTTTCTAGACATATTAAATTTGATGAATCTCTTTTTCCATACAAAGAAAATCATAATCCTTTCATTGGTTCATCTATTTTTTAGTATGAATATTCTTTTATTAGTCATTCTCTTCATGTTTTAATTCCTCTTTAAAAGAATGATCCAACTGATAATTGTAACTTTGTTGATGTCATTGATTTTTTTCAATGATGATGTGATTCTACCAACTGACAATATTGATCCCACTGTTTCTGTTACTAGTATTGTTATTGATGCAGGAGCCACTAGTCACGGTATAGTCAATACAATCCTATGACTACTAGAGCCAAGCCAGAGATTTTTAAGCCCAAAATCTATGCTTCTGTTGTTGACAAATCGACCTATGATCATACAATTTATTCCCACTAAATGAAATAAGCTTTGTCTAAACCTGATTGGTGTCAAGCTATGAAAAATAATATGAAGCTTAGTTTAGAAATATAACGCATGGAGTTTGGTTAATCTACCTGTTGGTTGCAAAGCTACAGGTCTTAGATGGGTTTTAGACTAGCTAAGAGTGATACCTTTTCATTGATCAGAACCACTACACAATCCATTTTTTTTCTTGTGATTTATGTGATGATATCATAATCAGGCAATTCAAAATCCGAAGTTACAACTTTTATATCTAAGCTAAACTCTATGTTTAGTCTTAAGGACCTTGGACTATTACAGTATTGCACTTTTTTTAAGCATTAAGGTCTCTCTACCAGCAAAGGTGGATGTATTTTTTTGTCTAAGGCTAAACATATTTGAGACCTTCTTTATAGAGAAAAATGAATGATTCCAAACCTCTATCAACTCGAATGGTCTGAGGTCTGAAACTCACATCTGATGGTTCTGCAATTGTATCTGATTCTTTTTTATAGGTCTATTGTTGGAAGAATACATATATTACAATCACAAGGCCTAAGTTTTCTAATCGGTTAACAAAGTATGTCAGTATGCATAATCCACGGAAACATCACTGGAAAGCAGTGAAAAGATTTTTGAGATATTTACAAGACCATTGATTTGGGCTACTCTTTAAGCTTTTCTTATTTTGATCAGGGATCCTGATGACAGAAAGGCAACAGCAGGCTTTTGTGTTTATCCAGGGGGCAATCTTATTTCTTGGTGTTTAAGGAAATAAAAGACTTGTGTTAAGAAGTAGCACTGAGACTGAGATTCAAGGTCTTGTTGATACTGTTATTTTATTTTGGGTGTAATTCAAGTTGTTGATATGCTTACAAGTCAATCTCTGGTTCTTAGTCTGAAACTATGAAAAACAAACTCTTGGATACCTCAGGAAATAAGATGAAGTTGAGGGGAGTGTAAAGGAAACTAATAAAATTAGTTACAATATGTTAAGTTTTTTTTCAGTTTTGTATTATTTTCTTTTTCTTTAACTGCATCTATATAAGATCTTTGTCTATGACCAAACCTTAACACCAGGGTTATACTTTCTTCTGTTCTTCCTTTATCTTTCCTCATCCACAACGAAACCCTAACACCCTGACAGGAAAATTTATCAATTCACACAAAATTTCAAATTTGCTCACAAAATACTCAATTCAACAAATATTGTTATCACGCCAATATGAATTTCTTGGAACATACTAGCGTCACATGACTTAAAAACCCACTCAAATTCATATTTTTCACAAGAAGAGAACTCTGAGATAAAATAGTTTAAGGAATTAGAAGTTTTTTGATACACAAGATCCTCATAAGAGGCAAGTGTAGAACATACTTGCATTTAAGTAGGGACAAATAATATGAATTATATACTTCAGACTTTTAGAGAAGAGAAAACTTAGAAAGAAGACATTTTTAAGAAATAAATTTTATATTTGATTGATTCTCGCCTTGAAACACTACAAGTCTTCCTATTTATACGCACATCATACAAGCGGAATTGAAAACTTAGCTAAACTAAATTGAAATTAGGACTCAAAAATATCATACAAATTGGAATCCGAATATAAGGTTATGACTCATACCTATTATGGTCTTACAAAAAAAATAAGATAGGATAAGATAAGATAACTTTATATTTAAATTAAAGTAGATTATTTCTTATCTACTTTAACACGTTTGCGGTACACACAATGGAGACGTGTAAAAATAAGATAATCTTTCTTTAGTAACTTGTCATGATGACGGTCATTAACTAAAGTTTTTACTTTGAATTAGATATGGTAGAATTGGAACAATTTAGTTGTTTTGTCTTGCTCCTTGTCATACTTCCATGTAGTGGGTCCCAATAAGGATACATTCTTTTGTACAATATCATCATTTTCTCTATTAATTCCTCACTGTAATTATCTGTCAAGTCTTCAACTTTATGAAATTCTTCTTCAGTTACATATATCTCAATAGTTGATTTGAAGAATCTTATCTTTTGGGAGTCACCATCTTCTAGAATGATGAGGATAAGAACTGAATGGTCTTTGGGATGAGCTAGCAAGATTGGGGTCCACCAGTCTATAATGATAGTTGTTAACTTCACAAAGATGTATAGTCAGCTGGGTTCTATAACTATCATCTAAAGGATATGTTTTAAAACTTCCCTAGATATAAGCTTCATTCTTTGACCATAGTTGTCCTGTAGGATTTTGAAAATATGGACAGTGGATGATGAAGATTGAAGTAAAAGCTTTAATAGAATCTTCAGTTATTCCCCTTTGTTTCTGGAAATCTATAATCCTTTGGTTTTTGTCTCCACCAAGACAATGGTAAAAACCATTACAGGAATAAAACTTTTCTTATAGGGATCTGTCAAAATCTCAAGAGTTGTTTGTGCTTTTAATGTAATGGGGGTGGAGTATTGAACAGTGTTATACCATATTGCCCACAGTGTTGGTTCACCAAGATCTCACCCAGGTTCACTGAATATTTCAAAAATTCCTCCAAAAGGGATATCAGGATTAAAGATGATTGTTGGAGAGGTTTTGTATTTCAGGGTTTCATGGAGAAAATAAAAGTAACGAGATTTCGCATACTAGTGGATTTCTCCCGGAGAGGTTGGATTCGGTCTGAGAGGATAGACTCTTACAATTTTGGCTTTGTTGGATAAGGGTTGGACCATATCAGAAATTAATTAGATAATTTTATTTGGTCTAGACAGAAAATTAGGAATTGTGTTTTTGGTTTCCTTTAATATGTTTAACAAAAAAATCATACCTTAAAGACCAGCCCATTAGTCGAAGGATCTGAGAATTTGGAGGCATCCTATTTTTTAACTCAAGGATTCTTGGAAAACAAGAGTTGTCCATTTGTATTTCAAAATGATATCTTCTGAGATGAAAATCAAATTTCTTTATTCCATTTTTTACAACTAGGGTTTCCTTAAAGGTAGTGTGATAGTGTTTTTCATCATCTTTGAATTGTCCACTAGCATGATCACAATAATAATTTTTTCCATTCTCTTCTTCAATGAGAACTACTCCCCAAAAACAATCACTTGCATCAGTCTGAAGTATTCTTTTTCCATTCCCTTGGATTTTTAGTGCTGAAGGAGTTTGGACTATTTTCTTAAGTTCTTTGACTGCTCAAGTCTGTTCTGGTTTCCAAGAAGGAGGATTCTTCCTTAGAAACTTGGACAAGAGACTAGTATATCTGGAAATATTAGGAATGAATTATCTGATGTAGTTAATGATTCCAAGAAATTGCTGAATTTGCTTTATGGTTAAGTTTTCATCGAAAAAATTAAGAAGCTCTTTAATAATGTGAGGTTAAGGTTGATATGAGCCTTGACAGAAATCGATTCCCAAGAAATCAATTTTCCTTTGGGCAAAGTGAATTTTCTTCTCTAGGAGCATAATCCCATGTTGATGGGAAATTTCAAAAAATTGACTCAATAACTTGTTATGAGAGTTCATGTTTTGAGAGAACAATAGGATATCATCTATGCAAATTGTTGAAAGTCATACATCGCCTACCTCATGTCATTTGGTATGGTTTAAATACATGTTAGGCTAATCCACATATTGCCAATTGGTTTTATGTTGGAACCTTAACATGGTATCAGAGCCAAAGCCTAACATCTTTCCGGTTATTGTCATG